AGAGACAGCTCGAGGCCTCCGCCCGCCTTCAGGGGTTTTGGGCCTTGATTTGAGTGACTCTTAAGCTTCATCTTTATTCGGGGCATTTTCGTCCGTATTTATGTCTGACAATTTGGTTTCTGAACCTTTCCTTCAGACGGCACATGCGTTTCACCGAAGTCATTAACGAATATATTGACCAGAACTAATGCAGGACGGGCCTGCGCAGCTGTTTGATCTTCTGACAGAAAATTATTGATGGTGATGCAGGGCAAGGCCTTCCAGAGATCGGTACACCCCTTACATATGCAACATGTCGTAATAATTTTACTAAACCACGTTTCTGTGATTTACTTACAAGAGTCTCACGTGAGTTGGTCCGAGGCACCCCACACTAAGGGAACAGAACACACACAAGCTACTCCTTGTTACCTCCCCAAAGTTGCAGGGCAATTAATTTATGCCCCAAAATTAGACTACCTTGAATATTTGCAGTTGACAAATCCAGGCAAGCTTTGATTTCATCACCTCAGTACCCCTGTAGTTTTTTGCGAACTGACTAATTGAGTAATAATTTAAGGGTCTTTCTGCAATCTGAGTTTGACTGGCAGTTTTATAATTTTTCAGGTCCTCCTCACTTCCACCAGGGCTGGAAATGTGCTTGTTTTCCTTCAGTCCTTTGAAATCTAGTTTGTACATATTAAAAAAAATACATTAATTGTATGTAGGCTTACCAGGTGAAATAATAAGTCAGTTAAGATTGATATAATGTTCAAGCCTATTCTTTGAGACTTTTTCAAAGTAGGAATCTCCTGCTCTTCAGTGAATACTGAGATGATTGCATTAAAATTTGTGAAAGCTTCAACAAACCGTCACTCACAAGAAAATCCCTTCAAACATATTTGAAAAATACTCCATAAAATTCTGTGGAAAGGTATCAGACTCCCATGTCTAGTGCAGCAGCATAGCACTCGCTGCTTGTCAGCTGTTTGCCAGCTGAGAGTGCTTGACTTGTGTACCAAAGGCCTCTTGGTGGTTAGGAGGCTAGTGACACTGGACAACAGAAGGTAGTAGGAATACATTTAGTTTATTTAGGTCTGCAATTTCCAGCAGAGGGAGAAGACATCCAGGAAATGCTCATGCACATACTTAGGGGTGCAGTTTGATGTTAAGCCGATACAGCCCAAAAGATAAAAGGTGAACTGGCTCCACTTTACCTACACACAGAATCTTCCCTCTCTCCTCATCCACTGTTACAGGAATTCTTGTAACAATGCTTCAGGAAACTCAACTGACCAAAAAAAACCAAACCTGACCCTGCTTCCAAATAACACAATAAGTACACCCTCCCCTTCTCTCCAGTTTAGTGCCAATTTAGCTACCCAAACAAAGTGACCTTGCAGTTACAAGGTTATCAACACCCATTCAAGGGCAGTGGTTAAAGCACTTGGCTGGAGCTGGGCTGTTTCTTCTGCCAGCAGTCAGCTTGTACACTGGTGTAGCTGCAGAGTGAAACTGCTGCCTGCTTGATTTCAGTATTATGAGCTGGAATAGCGCAGCCCCTGCTCTTGCAGGTCGTAGGAGTGAATACTGGGTAGAGTCAGTGGGAGTTACACTACCATGGTGCAGCTCTGAGCCAGATCCCATCCAGCTTCCTTTTGACCATTGCACCATGAGTATGGACTCAGTATAACTCTTTACTTGGTTGTTTTTGCATGGTGTACAGGATATTAAAGACAAATGTTGTACTTCTGTGTGATCCTGGTTCAATCCTGTTTAACTGAAAAGCTTTCATCGATATAGCTTCAGTGGGGACTGAATTGTCTTCATGTTACTTAAACAGTCTCAACCATCCTTTAATTGAATCCTCTACTCTCAGAAGAGTGTCACTAATAATAGCAGTACTAATAAGTTTTAGAAGGAGAAGTGACTGGTATTGCTGAAGAAGTTGGAAGATACAAATTTTTTCATATACTGACTGCAGTTTATTTTGTTTTTTACAGGTGGGCACACAACAGAAATTCTGAGGTTACTTAGCTGTTTGTCAGAGTCATATTCTCCTAGACATTATATTTTTGCAGACTCAGATAAGATGAGTGAAGCTAAAATACGTTCTTTTGAACAAAAAAGGGCTGAAATGTTCTCCAATTCCCAGGTAACTTGTTAAATATACTCTTGTAAGATAAAATGATCTTAACATGACATTCTAATTCAAGGCAATTTGGAAGCGATTCTTTAAAAGGATATTTCTGAGATCAGCAGGTGCTTTTGATTTTTCTAGGTATTGATAATCATTTGCACCAGAGTTCAGCTAAAGGTGCCATTCTGTACATACTGTTTTTTACATTTCTAAAAGTGAACTAAATAAACACTTTAGATTAATGCTGTACTAGAGAGACACTGAAAATGCAAAGTAAACCTACCTAAAAATAGCAAATGCCATTCTTGCTACCAGTTTTCACTTACTTTCTCTTAAAATGGTCTTTACCTCCTGTTAACATATTAATCCATTTAAAGCAAAATAGTTGTGAAAGTGACTGTACAAAGAATGCTGTTTCTTGCTCAAGAAAAGCATGCTGAAAATAAATATCTTTTAATGTTGTAAACCAGCTAGCTATAGAACTGTTATTTGTAGCTATAAAAATATTGGAGCAGAAATATGGTGGGGTTTTTTCTTTTATTTTTCAGTTTAGCATTTCCCTCAGTGACGTAATGTATTTTTTTTACAAGAAAATATATCTAAAAATGTTTTATCTAAGAAAACCTTAATTATATTATTTTTGTGTGTTTCTAGACCGTTTTGGTTGGATTTTAAAACTAAGCATTAGTTACATGTTTAAAAAGTATGCAATACCTCTTAATGTCAGATAGTTTTCTGATTGATGACCTGAGCAAATGCTGAACTCCTAAAAATCATGAAAAGATTGTGAAGATATCTTGTTTATCTTTTTATCAGATGTTTGCTTGCTTTGAGCTAGTTTGCTGTACAATTAACAGACAGCAGTATGACTCTGGTGACTCAAAGCATGATCTGATGTCCAGTGAAATTAGTAGAAAGATTATGTTTTTATTTAGAAATTGGAATAAATACAGTGGAAATTAGTGTTCTGACTACAAAAATCAGCAGTAGAACAAAAAGCAAGTAGCAGAACATGCAGTAAATTATTTACATGGTATTGATTTCAGATACTGCACTTCTGATACTTCTGTTGTCTTCAGCAGCGCTACTGGCACAAAAGATTGTAGGACAGTACCAGTGATTTTCAGAATAAACCCTTTTAATGTAAAGCAACTACTGCTATGGTGAGCAGTAGGCTCACTTATGAATGACATTTTTAAGTTTGCTTACCCCACTTCCACCTTAGAAGACAAAGGTTCTTTGCCTACCACAAGATGCTGAATCAAGTGAGAATGACTTAGTTTAAAACTCAGCATGACAGTCTCTTCTCTCATTGTGCACCAATGATGAAAGTTTAGTAAAGTGACCAGAGGTGTTTTCTGTTCATAGAGATCTTTTTTGGTAATTAGTCATTCACATAGTCATACTCAGTTATCTGAAAAATATCCAACCCTAAATTACTAAATTTCTTAAAAATATATATTTTGAGTATTAAAAGGTTATTCAGATGTCCACTAGTTCACTTAGTTTTGCTAAGCAGCTTCCCTTTCATACCCTCTCCAGCTGCTAACAGATCATATAATTATATTTTCCTTTAACACTGAAAGCCAAGGGAACATTTTTGACTGCATCTGAGTTTGCTGTCTGGATAACAGATGCTTATTTTCTTTTGGCCATTCTTTTTCCACTGAGCAAAAATATTTAGAGTGAAAATGGAAGATAAATTTTGGAAAGTAAAGGTCACATGTCTATAACATATATTTGCTAACTTTCAGAGTGCGTTTTCAAGGGGTGTGTGTTTTGGCCCTGGGGATGATGGTGATCATCAAGCATTTGAAAATCATGTGTTAGTAGCTTTTTTCAGCTTTGTACAAATGAAAGAGAAAAGTCTGACGGTCACTCCCTTCCTCATCTTCTCAAGGAAGTAAATTTTTCTAGAACTAAGGACTAGACAGAAGACAGGTTACAATAATGGCCTAAGAGAAAATCAGTGTATTCATTTAACAAATTACGATGTAAAAAACCACAAATATTTCTTTTTTCCATCTGTGATCTCATCCGATTCTAAAAGCTACAGTATTCAGTGAGAAAGAAAGGAAGCAAGAATAAGCATATTGCTTACAAGAAGTGAAACGCTGCACCTCTACTCATTAAGTCTCTTGAAAAAAAAAATCAGAAATGCCACTCTGGTCCTGCTATCATTTGCCTCTGTTCTCTGTTGCCCCCTACCTATAACCACAACTACTCTACGTGGATGTCCCCAGAGCTGTAACTCAGGGAACCTTCTGCGCTCAGCATAGAGAAGCTGCTTCAGCTCCTGCTGACCTACTGTAGCAGCAGAAAGACAGCTTACATTTGTTGACTGAAGAACATGAATTCTTCACTGGATCTTATACCCCCATTTATTACGTCTGAGATGAGCAACCAGATTAACTAACCTTCATGTAATGCTCATCTGACTGCATATTCTTATCCATTTTATGTTTCATGAGAGAGATCATGCTAAGAAATCTTGTTGCTCAGCATGAAAAAGAACTATGTAAACCCAGTTTCTTTGCAAGCATTGCAGTATATTCAATTGAGCATATTAAAATAATTCACAGCAGTGGCATGCTTGCAAAACAATATTAACTAGGTAAGGACTACATCACTGGTTTTGAAATTGCAACACCTCGTCAACCCTTATAAACTTGCCAGTTTGGAACATTTGTTTTCAAATAACAAAAAGGTTTCTGACTCCATTAAAGATGTAAGGGGAAATATGACACAATATGACACTGTAGAAGATAGGTGAGCAATTTGTCTGTTTCTGGTATCAGACATACTATGCAGTTTTCCAACAAAAG